TCATAATTTTAGAATATACTTATATTTCCTAATGTATTCTAACACAATTTCAAATTTTCTGTGTGAAGAACATATAAAACATTCATTTTCAAAAACTGAAGTTAATTATGTACATACACCATGGCAGATCTGAATGCTCTCTGTATGTAGCAACAGTAGTGTTCTGGCCTTTGGATCCCTTTCTCAGAACTCGTCATCACTCCCAAAGAGCTGCAGTTTGCCTCACCACTACACACTGCCTCCCTCTACCTGAATACTGTACTGTCATCGTATTTTCTACTTTCTTCTGGTGCTACTTCTGAGTCATCCCCTTGGTAATGTCACCTAGTGACTGCTGGATTTCCACACAAAGGTCTGTGTAACCCTCAAATTATTCCACAAATAAATCTGCATCTTTTCTAGATTCTATAACCCTCTTCTGTTCACTGTATACATTAATGTCACCATCCTCTGTGGCTCAGAATTGAAATGTCTGTCTCATCTATTCTATGCTCTCTGCCTTACTCCTCATACTTAACCACTTACCAAAATCTGCGGATTCTCTCTCTGCAAGGATTCACGTTTACAATCTCATCAGATTTTAAACTCTAAAATAACAACCATTATGTGTGTCTGCTTTTAATCACTGAGGTTAGGAACTATCTCACAATACCTGGCACAAGAAAATATCCAATACTTCTTTGTTGACTGAAGTTCTTTATTACTGTAACTCAAGAAAATAATCTTACTTGGTTATATTTTATCAGATAAGCATAATTACACACAAGAACATATTTTTAGTGTTCCTTTTCTAATCACTGATCCCTGACCTAACTTTCATTTTATATAGCCCATGTTTTCCTTCTAATTCTGCTAACCCTCTACTCCAACACACACAACACACGTATATTTTTAATAAGTTTTCAAATTAATTGCTACTATAAAAAATTATTTTTTTGAAGCAACATGCAATTGCCTTGTTTTTTCAACACCTAGACTTTCCTCAAAATAAAATGGAGAATTGGCAAGACTTAGGTGAGTTTGATCAAATGTACATAGTCAAAATATTTCAGGCCCAAAATTTTACACAACTCTTTGGTTTCAGCCATCTACTTAATTGACAAAATTGACCATAATATAAGAAGTTTATTTTATCTCAGCCTTGCTGATACATCTATAATCTAAAGTAGCATTTTGGAACAGAATAAATCCTTATACATATTTATATGGCTCTGGCTTTTCCAGAGTTTTCAGTAAAAGTTTGCATAATGTAACTCATACATGAATGACTAAGAAAAGTATGAAAATGCAATTCGATCAACAGTTATTTGTTTTTGTTGTTGTAAAGTACGGTCGAATAGGTTTTGACTCATAGCGACTCTGTATGGGGGTTCTGAGGCTTTAAATTTTTGGTGGCAGCTGAGAGTCTCATCTTTCTCCTGTGGATTGGCTGGTAGACTTGAACCACAGGCCTTGGGGTTCCAAGTCCAGTGCTTATCATATGAAGCCATAGCTGCCACATTCTGGAGGAAAACAAAACTGCCACAGAACATGTTTGGACCACCAAATAATAAGTTATGGTCTCATAAGCAATTATGAGAGATAGAAATAAATACAGATTGATAGGTGAGGCAAACTACGGTAAATGATGAAACAGAGGAGCATTAAAGTGTTTCTTTCTAAGCTCCCCTCATCTCCCTCTTTTCCTCTTGTTCTGTCTCATGCATCTTAGACAGCAGCATTGTTGGGTGCTGTTGGGTTGATTCTGACACACAGCGATCTCACAGAGTAGAACTGCCTCCCAGGCTTCCCTTGGCTGTAAACTTTATGGAAGCAGACCTGCAGGTCTTTCTCACTCAGAGACATTGGCTGGGTTCAAACTGCTACCTTTTAGGACAGCAGCTGAGTGCCTACACTGTTGTATTACCAGGGCTCCTTAGATATCAGTACATCATCAAAATCTCCCTTCCATACTGCTCTTTCCCTTTGACTTACTCATCAGTCAAAACCTCCTCCCACCTGCATCCATGCAGATGAAGATAATTAGAGAAAAACATGTAGCTTTGCCGGTTGTTGTTATTGTTGCTGTTGTTAAGTGCATCGAGCCAGTTCCTACTCAGAGTGGCCCTGTATATGGTTTCCAACAAGCAGCTGTTGAGTTTGAACCACCGACCTTGTGGTCTGAACTTATCCTACACAGTGCCACACCAGGTCTCCAGCGTCACTAGTAGACCTCACCTTAAAAATACTAACCACAAGTCCTATCACACTCTTTTACAATAGTCCCTGGAGATTATTTTACACCTTGTTTCTTCTCAAAACTCCAGTTCTCTCAACTCTTTTACTTTCAGCAGATGGCTCTACATCTGATTTCACTTAGAAAAAAAATGAAACTCTTAGAAAAGAAGTATGCATTATCATCATCCTATCTTCCAACTACCTGCACTTATACTCATACACGCTGTCTACCAGCTGTGGCCCTGTAGGTTAAGCACTGGACCACTAACCTCAGAAACCTGATACAGGGTCGCTATGAGTCAGAAGACATCACAACCTTCCTGTTAATTTCCTTCAATGTCCAAACTTTTATATAAGGCCATGTCCTTCTCATATTCCATATCAACTGTCCTTTCCATTAGCATCAAGTTTTCTAAAGGTACCAAAACATCCCCATCAGCATTCAAACATGCAGTAATATAACATCTTAAAAAACAATTCCTCTGAGTCCATATCCCCATATCAGCAACCACTCCATTTCTCTCTGTCCTCTACAACAAAAATCCTTGAAAGATGTTTCTTGAAAATCTTCAGTTCATTTCCGTACTTCACATTGTAAGCAATGACAGCCATACTTTGGACATTAGTGACCTACACACAGCAAAGATCGATTTTATGTGAAATATAAACTGTATACAACAAAGGTACATTTTAAAGAACAATGCTAAAATTAATGCCTGTGAATCCACCACTCAAACTAACAGGTAGAGCATTATCCATCAGTTCCCAAGGACCAGTGTCACATCCTACTATTTTTATTTCAAAATAATATGTGGTTTGATGTTACCTGTTTTCAAGTTTTACATGAATGGGATTATACTGTACATATTCCTATGGGATTTGATTTTTCTCACAGACGATCATGTTTTGAGAGTGCTCCATATTGAATGCATGAATGTAATTCATTCTTTTTAATATTAAGGGATATACTTTTATAAAATTATACTAGACTTATTTATTCATTCTACTATGTCAAGGACTTCATCTCTCTTGGATCAACCACCAACACTCATGGAAGCAGCAGTCAAGAAATCAAATGACATGTTCCATTAGGCAAATCTGCTGTAAAAGGCCTTTATAAAGTGTTGAACAGCAAAGATGTCAGCTTGAGGACTAAGGTGCGCCTGACTCAAGCCATGGTATTTTCAATAGCCTCATATGCATGTGAAAGTTAGACAGTGAATAAGGAAGGCCACAGAAGAATTGATGCTTTTGAGTTATGGTGTTGGAGGAGAATAGTGAACGTATATGGGCTACCCAAAGAACAAACAGATCTGTGTTGGAAGAAGCGCAGCCAGAAGGCTCCTTGGAGGCCAGGATGACCAAACTTCATCTCTCAGGGGGGACCAGTTTCTGGAGAAGGATATCATGTTTGGTAAGGTGGAGGATCAGAGAAAAAGAGGAAGACTCCTAGCGAGATGGATTGGCAAAGTAGCACTATCAGTGGGTTCAAGCGTGGTCAAGGATCAAGCAGTGTTTCATTCTACTGTGCATAAGGTTGCTATGAGTCGGTACCAACTAGACGGCTCCTAACAACAACAACAACAAATCTCAACAATGTTGTTGTTAAGTGCCGTTGTGTCGATTCCGACCCATAGCGACCCCGAACAGGGTTTCTGAGGCTGTAAATCTTTACAGGAGCAGAAAGCCTCATCTTTCTCCTGTGGAGCAGCTGATAGTTTTGAACTGTTGACCCTGAGATTCAGAGCCCGGTTTGTAACCACTACGCTACAAAAGCTCACTAGACTATAAATTTCTAGTGTTTTATTTTTCAAGTCTAGGAATTATCTTTGGTTCAATCTAATATCTTTTTAGTTGTATTTCCATTCCTCACTTTTATTTCAATAAATATTCCAGATACTTAATTTATAGTCTGTGCTTTATTATTCTCAAGTTTTGTTCATTTTAATCTATTTATTGTTTCACCTGTCAAGGTAGCCCATTCCTTTTTGTATTTAGCAATTTTCTTTCTTCTGAACACAATTTCATTCAACATCAGCATTTAGAAGACAGATAATTTGCCATGCATCTGTGAAGAGGAGGTGAGGTAGAAAAGATTTATTGTTGAGAACTGCCGTCGAGTCAGTTCCGACTCATAGCAACCCTATATCGGGTTTCCGAGGAGCAGCTGGTGGATTTGAACTGCAGACCTTGTCATTAACAGTCTGGTGCTGATTTTATGGTGCTGATTCTATAGTGCCACACCAGTAGTCAGAAGAAGACATGGAGGCAGGTGAATTCTAGTTCACTCTAATTCTAAGGGTTTTGACCTTGTAGATCCAATCTCCACTGAACGTTTTCCAAAAGAGATCTGACTAGGAAAAGTCCAAGGACTTTACATCAGCCAGTGAGCCTCGCAAAGCCAAGAAGATGATTGCTGAAGCACACTTGATTTAACAAATGCCAACTTCAGTGCTCTGGGTTCTAGCCTTCATTTAGTCCCTGGCCTGAGTGTTATTTACTTTATTGATAGCTTTTGAAGATTTATAAAGTTTTAAAAACCTTATATCTAGCATTTTAAATTGTTTCCTGCAGAGGATCAGATGAGGCAAATTGTTCACCATTTGCATATATGTTGTTGTTGTTGTTGTTAAGTGCTGTCGAGTCGGTTCCGACCCATAGCGACCCTGTTCAGGGTTTCC